GGCATAAACGACTAATATAAACGTTTTTTTTTTTAAAGCAGAGAATATTTTATTTCGCGACGACGACGACGACGACGACGACGACGACGACGTCGTCGCAAAATAAAATATTCTCTGCTTTAAAAAAAAGATGTTTATATTAGTCGTTTATGCCTTCCAAAACTCAAAATAGCTGCTATATTTTTCAAACTTTTTTGTTTATAACTTTTTAATAAACAATGACTGACGGCTAAAACCTTTTGAAGGTCACTCAGTAGGGTGACCTTCACAACATATGTCAAGGTCAAGGTCATCGGAGAGGACGTCGCTATTATGCATAATTACCAATATCTTTTTAAACCCGCAATATACTTTGTTTTATCTTTACAATTATCGGACGTCGATCTTTTACCTGAAAATGATTCTTCTTCTGACAAACAAACGCATCGTCCGAATTGCTAAAATTAAACCCTTTGTCGGCATCCACTCTGTAATGTGGTACCGGTAACTCTTTGAGATTATGATCGCAAAGAACATGCCAAGATGTTTGCTGGAAAGGATGAAATCGAATACACTGATAACTAGCGTCGATGTACGTGCCGTCAGCAACTTCGTCACTGTCTAGCACTGCGCTACTGCTGCTGCAACTGTGCTCCACGGTACCCAGTTCGGGTTCCTGAGAAACAACGATCGTAAATAATAATTAAAGTAAAAAGGAAGAACAATCAAAATTACAAATAAAAAAACCGTAAAAACACCTGTTTGACGTGGATAAGGCCATCTTGGCTGAGTTTCCTCTTTTTTGGGGCCGATTGCAGGGAGGAGTACAGCGTGTTAATGCCAGCCGGACTGTGTTCATGCGGCAACGGTACCAAAGGCGGTCCTATCTGAGGCTGCGTTGAAAGATTCGGCGTTCCCGACGTGAGATGAGATGTCAGGACCGGCGTTAACAACAGAGGATCCGTTGTCGCAGGCAACGTTCTCGGAGAAGGTGGTAGCAAATTAGAAGAGTACTGATTGTTTTGATGATGCAGAAGTATCTCTTTCAAAGCTGCCTTTTGATCTATAATTACACGCACGTGTATTATAATTTTCTTGTAAAATGTCTTTTCGCAAATGTATTTAAACTCACGTGGCGAATGTACGTGTTGAGTGTCATTATGTCCCGGCGGTGAATACGGTGGCTCACTTCCGCTATCCGGTGGACTTTCCGGTAGCGCGTGTCTACAAAAAGAGCGATGCTCTAGATTTTCACCGAGTCATTAAATCGCTACAAGAGATCTGTCACTTTTTTAATAAGCTGTCGCGTTTACTCCGATATAATCTAAAATCTTTATTACTTAAAAACTGGAATTGTAGAACCGGTGTAATTTCATTGAATTTAATTTCCTATTTCCCCGTGCCTGAAGTACCGGTATAGCTAGAGCTCACACTGATTTTCGTGAATAAACGTAGAGATTATTCTTGCTTCTTAATCTTCCATAAGCCTGATAAAACCGCAGTTTTTACCGTCAGTTTTATTTTTCAGAGTTCGACTTACGGGTGAACATACGCCTGCGGATCTTTGTAGCCGACGTTGTTGGGTACCGTCGTGGTACCGGAAGCGCACGCTATCGAAACTGGATGAGCCTGCGTCATCTGCGGCGAAGGTAGTCGCGATGGTGGCGGCTGCTGTTGGGCAACCGGTTGTGACGTGGGTGCCTCGATCCGGCCACCGTGGGACACCGTTCCACCTCCATTTTCATTGTGGGCAAGGGTATCCGCGAAATATCTAAACACAGAACCCCACGGTCTTTCATCCAAGTCCATATCTCTGTTTTCTTTTCTTTTGTTTTTTAATTTTTTTTTATGCATGCTCGTTGCTTCTCTTATAGAATATCTCTAGAATAGCATTTGCTATATTTAGAAATACCTGATGTAAAGATGCAAAAGACATTTTGATAGAGATTGACTAAACGCGCGCTACGTCAGCACCTTTTTTTTATTGATCTTACGAGAGCTATGCATGCCGAGAGCGCAACTGCACGTTGGATTTGCAAAACATGAGATATCGTTATCGTCTGAATCGCAGTTCGGCGTACAGCGGTAAATGATGCTTTGCGCTGTATCTCGCATTGAGTTTTCTCAACTCGCAGAATTTGCGAGAGTTTAACTGCACACGCGGTATCACCCCGGTGCTATTATACATTATACAGCTTCCATCGAATTAAAGAAAATTCGCGCGTCTATTATAAATTTTCCACGAATTCTTGATGAAAAGGCAATCGTTTAATAACAATCTGCAATCTCTGTCGACCACAGTAAAAAAAAATCATGCAAAATACCTGTTCCTCCTTATTGCATAAGCTGCCGTAATTATATTGTCAATTGAATGGAAATTTCTGATTCTTAAAATATAAATTATGACTATCATTGTCTCTTTATTATCTCTCGTTGCGTATGGTTTTCATTGTCATGTCTCGCGCGTTATTTCATTTATTGTTTCGTAATTAATGCAACTAGAATCGAAAAATAAATAGAGATCCGCTATGTGAAAATACTCATTTATTTTTTAGAGAATTGTCGTTTATAGAGAAGAGACAATTCTCTCTCTCTCTCTCTCTCTCCCTCCCCCGTATAAAATCACTTTGCGTTTGCATCGCTACTATAAATTTTCTCCGCTTATCTATCCAACTAATGTATTTTTTAATAAACATATCTCGTGCGTCGTGATCACGATGCATGCACGTGTACACACATCTGAATACGTACGGAATCACAAGAATAATAAATAAATAAGAGAAAGGTAAACACGGAAGTAATAAAATAATAATAAAATATCTAGGATAAAGTGGATCTGTTTCTGAAAGATGGAAAAAATAAAAAAATACAAAAAATATGAAAAAAATTGTTTAATATTTTAAGGCACAAGACTAATAAATTAGGATTTACTGTCGTTGGATAATGGTATGCCGCGGCATACACGCGGTGTCGCTCGGATGAGAATAAAAATTTTTTTTCCTCGGTTAATCCGAGTCGTTGTGCGATGAGCACCAAGAGCCTTTTAATGGAAGACGAGTGCTGGAAGTCGAATTAGCAGGGTTAACGCAGTGTGCACGCTGTGATTCCATCAATTCCGTTCCGTCTGCCTCTGTCATTATATCATTACACCTCTGCGGTTGTTATCTGCGTGAATATCTGTCTGCGGGCTGAGTATATACGTACGCGTACGTATGACTGTATGCGTATAAAGAATGGCTGGATGCGTTTCCTGGTGTACGCGATTACGTCAATACGCGCGGTCAGGTCTGGAATAAGATATTTTCGTGCCCGAAGTCATATAAGAGGCTTGAATCGTTTTGGATTCGCGCATTATTGTTATTTATTTCGAGCACCGAGATTCAAAGCTTCTTACTCTTCACTTGAGAAATCACAACGACACGATATAATGAAAGAAAACGATATTTTACAGCAACACTAACACGAATTACTTATTACGATCATAAGTAATAGTATGATGATAAATGTATACGATCATATTGTAATTAATAATTAATGCAATCGAACGGTTAGTTTTATTATCAAATAAACGCAAACGTAAGACAAAATAGCTGTAAACATCAGTAAAGTACTAAAATCATATCGCTGTGATTTGAAATCTTATTAGTACATATGCCAAAAAGTCCATGAACTGATCCTTGAAGCAATGAGGAATCTTAAATTCGTCTCGATGTATCTATGCGGCAGCTATCAAGGTCAGTATGTTGCATCGACATTCACTGATTAATGGCACGCGTAATATATACGTATATTTTAACACATTCATTTATTTTAATTTTTGTATCGCTTTTTTAAAATTTGGTTTATAAAACTTACATTTATCGCAATTTATACACAAAGCTGTAGTACTGGTTTTGTTATAGTCTTATTAAGAAATATTTATTCTTCACGTGATCACGTATATCTCTTAAACGTTTATTTTTTGCACTGCCAAGAATGCATACGCGACAAGACCACGTCTCAAGCTTTCATAAGTTTTTCGTGGTTTTTTTTGTAGTATCTAAAACGTTTATATAAATAATTTTACACATATTCTTTTTATTAGTGATGAGACAAAAAAGATTTATTTTTTATCTTTTTGCACGTTTTATATAAGTAGCTTTAAAAGTACGGAGAAAATATGTCACGAAAAGCAGTTTGAATAAAATATAAATATTGTCAACAGTAACCATTTCTATGATAATCGCTGTGCTGTGGTGCCAGAGTACCTAGCCTGAATACATAGACGCGAGATGGAGCAATTTAGAAATTTAGCCTGATACATCGTGTCGTTCGCAGGAAACGCGTGCTCGTGCTGCTGGACGACAGAAGCATATTATCTAAATTCGTTAATTATCATAATTTGAGAAGGCGCCTATATACAAACGTCGAAAGCATCATGCTCGCAGAATTTTACACTTCGCATTACACGTATTTTTGATATATTTTGTAGCTATTTCAATTTGCAGAATTATCTTCAAATATATCGCGATAAAAAAAAAAAACACTTTTATTTTGATATGATTCATGTGACATGTAAGGAGGTAGATTGCCATGATTGAGAAGATTCATTAATGCAACTGAACAAATTTATTAATGTAAATTGGTGGTAAATTGGCATTTGGCATTCTAAGAAACAACAATTCGAGTTTTGCGATCATTGCGCTGGCACACGCATTACGCACGTGTGACGAACACGCGCATTGTAGGCGTTAACCATGGCTCCCAACAAATGTGGTTAAACTTCGTCACCAGACCGAACGCTTCAGCGTCCGAGATCAAGTTTCCCGTCTAATCGGAGAGTTTTCTTTTTTTAAAGCCAGTTCAAGATGCGTGATAAAATGAAAATAACGAAATAGATATAATGATATATAAACGTGCAAGGTTAATATTCTTTCAACTCACGTCGCGGGCTGTTCACTGTCACTGTTGATAAAGTCCTCTAACTGCGAAAAATCCAAGGCTTCGTTGTCTATCCCGCCGACGAAATCACCACGACCTGGAAAAGGATAAAGAATTTCACATTAAGATAACAATAAATTGTTTTTGTTACAAGTACATGTATATAGTAACATCACCGTCTCCCTGGTTGTATAATAGCCGATATGAGAATCCATCCGTTTCGATAATACATATCCATGCTACAATACTATGTAACATAAGATATACGTATACGAATATCACAAAATTGTTGCTATGCGCCTATTTCAAACATACACACGCAAACGTCTGTCATCGTCATTTGTTGCATCACAAGTTGCAAGAGCTCGTGTGAGAGATGCATCTACGTGGGAAAGAGATTTCAAGTAAGGTAAATTGTGTGTGTGTGTGTGTGTAATTTACCGTCTCTGATAGTTTTTAGCGAGGGAGAAAGTTGATTTATTGAATGGACACGAACAAATTTCACGGATGATTGCGACTCGAAGACGAAGACGCAGTTGAATGAACAAAGCGAAAAATAGTCGCGCGAATAACAGCCGAATTTCTTACAACGGTTCCTAAATTCCACGTATATCTACGTCGAAATGTCCGTTTTTCAGACACAGTCGTAGAAAACAATTTATAATTTTCTCACGACGGCAATCGCGCGCGCGAGACTAAAAAAGAAATCCGCCAACTACTCGACAAATCATGAAGCAATCCCTAATCTCCCTGAATCAACATTGATACTCTTGATCCTGTTTTGAAATGTAGAAACGCGGGCATGTACTTCGTATATACTTAAGCGCTTAAGACTACAAGCAAAGTGTTGTAATACGTTACTTCCGGTCAAACATTCATAAACGTTTAAGCGTTGGGAGCCGAGAGTAAGGACACTTTTCAAGTGAATAACAAGACATAACGTCGCGTCGTACCGTCTCACCGAAAGTTTTTCAGAGCACTAGAGCAATCATTAATCGTCATATCGTTCGTCAATATTGTCAATAATGCAATATAAAGCTTTTGGAGAATCATTCTTATTTTGAATTATTAACATTCTATCGAAATTGCATAAAGATAAAAGTTGTAATAATAGCAATAATAATTTTGTGCGGTGTGTGAAATATTCCTCTAAGAATAAAAACATCATATATATAGAGAGTTCAGGAAATAAAGGGAATAATTTCCAAGTATCTTTCTTTGCTATTGACCACAATAAAAACTACCATTTTTAAATAATCAGGCAAATGAAGTCTAGAATGTGCATGGCGCCTAGCGTTTACGCCGGAAAGAGCTGGAGGGGTGAGTTACAAGGGTGGATGAGTCGTTGCTAGCCAACCCTTTATCAAGATATCGACCAAACACCGCCCCCGTGAGCATAGTTGACCGTTTAAATCTGAATATCATTACACCAGATATGCACTATATGCGCGTAGTTACAAATGATCGAAAACCATTAATATATGTAAATTGAAATAATATTATTGTGCGAAATATATAAATTCAATTTTTTAAATATAATCTAAATTATTTCTACTAAAAAATATATTATTTATCTTTATTTGTACTAGTAGTATGTTAGTAATACAGCAAAATAAAATACTTATTTATTTACAGTAAATTAGAATTAATTGCAATTCGTATCACAAAGAAATGTAACTTTCACTGAACGTAATTATATATATCTTTCCTCGTCGCGCAATGTATTATAGGAATGTTAATTTCAGTTGAAGCAAAGCCTTTAATCGCGGATAAAACAATCGTATAATAATTGCGCCCATTCCAATCAAGTCTCAAATGATGTAAAAAGGCTTATGTATAAAGATATATGTAGGCTTTCGACCTCTCTGTATCGGCTGACGACCACTTTCTCCAGCAAAGCAAATAGAAATGGACATCGTGGACAGCGACTCGTCTATGAAAATTGGCCGGCTTTCATCCTTCGCAACAGAATATAGATGAATATAGAAATGTTTATAACCCCGACTGCTGTAATCCACACGACGATAGAAAGTAATACTAACGCACTCATGCAACGCCATCGTATTATTCTTGCGACACGTGTATCGCCACGATCATATCGTAAACGTTTAAACAGAGGAAGTTAATCGAAACCGAGTTGTCGATTTCACCCCTGTTAATCGTAAGGGTTGAAATGCAGCTGCCGTATCGTAAGCGCAAGGTAAATCCGGCAAAGTCCCACCTGAGGTCTAAATAATTATAGCAGGGAGCAGTATTCTTTTTCACGGCCATTAAGAGGTTTTCGAGAGGGGCCCGAACAAGTTGTGGACAGGTGTTAAACTGCTGTTTGTGATCACGAACATATCGATAATCGTCATGCAACTTTGACAACATAATTATGCTCATTACACAAAAATAATGTAAAATAATAATATTGTATTAAACACGGGGATGGTACGAACAAATAAACGTAAATGATAGAGTCAGGATTGTATATATAGTATATCAGAATCCTCTTCTTTCCACTTAGAAAACCTACTTAAAAAAAAAAAGTTATATATTTTCTTATTTATTACAGAATTAATCGACCAAAACATACTTGTTGTTATTAGAAACGATAATATGACTTCAAGAATTAATAATAAAACTGATTGCAGAAATTAATTTCAGAATATTTGATAAAATATTTCAAATCAAAATCTCAAAAATAAAAAAGCGGAAGAGGATGACACTACGTTGCGTCAACTTCAATTATTTCAAAATCGATGACGATAACATTATAATTTGCTTAATTACAGTTAAAAAAAATTTCCTTTTTATACAAGTTATTTTTCAATATCCTACGACAAGCAACAATGTTTTCAACAAATCAATTTCGAAGACAATCAAAGAAATCCATTCCCGAGATATAAGGAAAAATAGACTTATTGACATATTTATCTCATCAAACAATACTTGTTTGAAACATACATCTTTTTGTGAAAATAACCAACTATTTTCTCTTATTGAAGAAAAAAAATCTGTATTCTTCACAAAAATATTGCCACGTATTGTATATACATATACAATCTTAAATTTTAAGATTATGACTTCTTAATTTTCGTTTAATGTTCTGTAATCTCATGAACGTGAACGTAATCGACATTATAATAATCAACGTCCACCTTTATTTAAAGAAATAAGAACTATATATGAATATATCGTGTCTGTAAGAAAAGTAGGAAAAAAAAAACATTCTGTCGTTTACACAACGTATGCATTAATATTTGATTACCTGTCACGCTAAGCACGCGACGAGCGCAAACTTGATTAATAATATTAGCGTCTTCATGATGATCATTCGGATGATTTCGTCCATTTTGATCGTTAGATTGATGCTGAAGTGCCCACGAAAATTCCATAGTGACGAAAATGTTTTAATAAACTTGGATCACGCTCGAAAAATTGTCTGGTACGCAAGATTAGAACGACACTTCATCGCTACATAATTAATGTTGAAAAGTTGAATAAATTTACAACATTTAATCTATGAAATAAATATCACTTCGCTTGTATATAATTTGTTCAGGTATTTGCATGAATCTTTACATTTTACGTAGCACTTGATAATTTTTCTTCCGCGAAAAAATTATACAATAGATTATTCGTTTTTCACAGATCCGCGATAAGATATTGACGATACTTTTAGACGTAATTGAAGTAAAGCCAATATCAAATATCTCTTTATCTCTTTAATTGTCTATCGCGAAAATGAGGACGTATAAGGTCGTTTGTAGTACTGTAGTACTCTATATAGTTGGGCAACAAAACACAACAGTCCACGGTAGTTGACGACTTAATCACGAGTCTTCTCCATCGGAGGGCTCCACTACCTCCACCATATTCCAAGAGTATAGAGGGGATTTCCTCTTTGACTGGAGGGCGGTGCTTATTTCGGACTGAAAGGGGTGGTTACACGCAGCCCCTTTCTTCGATATGTACTATCGTACATAAGACGTCATGAACTCAAAGATTAATGTTTTCTTATAAATTGCAATTAATGTTTTTCTTATTCACTATAAATTCAAATATCGATTATCAATTAACTAAAGACTTGATATTTAGATCACGTATCTATCATAGACGACCGAATCTGTCATGCACGATATCTGCGGATATATTCAAAATGTCCTAATTTTTATATATTATAGGTACTTAAAGAAAATATGGAATAGTACCATTAATTCCACTAAATCCATAAAAAATTATAAATTGTATGAGTTGATAACATTTCAATCTTCGATGAACTGGTTTCTTTCTTTGATCCAACTATGATGATTGTTATGTGTTCAGTAATATGAAAAAATAAACACATTTGGTACATAATTAAGAAATCATTTTTCCAAACAAAATATAAATATAAAATATATTTTGTTAAAATTTTCTTTGTCCATGCTTGAATAACTATGGATTTCACGTGGATTGTGTAAGAAATTTTTCAGAAAATTTTACGATCAAGCAAAGTGATGAAAAATATCTATAATTCCGTCACAGTTCAACTGACCGATACAAAATGAAAGCAAGAAATTGTACCAAAGTCTTTGCCAACTTTTCATAGTGTTTCAAGTCCATAGTGTCTGAATCTCTAATATCTGTAACGCGATACGCGTTAAATTACGACAATGCTATTTTTCATTTTTACCAGCAATATATGCTATTTCGATTGAACAAATACAAGTCTCTTTGTGATAAATTAACGATGACTTAAACGCATCATCATTCGTGCGTATGAAACATTAAACAATTAAAGTAGGGCTTATAGATCCAATTATTCTATCACAGAATTCTTTCGATAAACACCTGCTGTTCGCAGCACGCCCGTCACTTCTGCACCAAGCTACCAAGCGAGAGAGCGTGAATCCATTTCTCATCGCGTGCGTAAATGTTCACGGGTGCGTGTAATCGGCATCACGCATTAAATGCCCGCCCGCGTTGCGTTGTGTATGAACCCTCCGTTTATATTACCATTAACACGACCGGGACCGGGCACACCGAACGAGCATTTCCCAGGCTCGGTTTTGATGTCCGCGCTATCGGAAAAGGGCGACGGTAGTGACAGACCGATAATATGCAAATGTTTGCTTCTGGTTAAATGGCCGTTTACTTATTCATCGCTGCCCTGAACACGCTACGTTTATTCTCTGTCACTTCTCGTTCGGCGAAAAGGATAATTGTGTCGTCTTCGTTTTAACAGTTTTAAACCTATTGGTTTGCGCCGTCTCGTTCGTAAGAGAGCCGGCGATCCCCTGTACAAAGACGCTCTATATTATAACGCGACTTTTAAAGCATGCATGGTATGCACGTGTGGTGTGTATCGCCTATGAACGTTGCGTCAAAGATATGTAGAACGAGAGTGATCGGTAATTACAAGCAATGTCGCTGACGACTGATTAATCTCGATACATATTACAGAATTTGCAATGTAAATAAGTAGTACCTGTCACAAGGTACAAGGAGATGAAAAAAGAGAAAAATATGAAAATCTGTGACATTGTTACCTCATCACAAGTATTATACAACTCGCTCGCGACAAATACGCGTTCCCGGCGCTAATATTCTATATATTTATATACCTGCACCCAAAAAGATTAACAACAATTATACTTTATGTAATTGCTGTGAAGATGAATATATTACAAGATATTTTATAATCGTATTATCATTCGATATCAGCTTCTGTGACATTTATACTCGTAAATACAAGGTTATCTAATTAATTCATATATACCTAGCAGGATCTTTTTTAAAAATATGCTGTTTAACTTTATCACATGATCACGCGTAGCTATATTACAATTACGGAAATCTGCGAGGTCGCGCTAGCAACTACCAACAATTCATTATGCCTTACAGTGCTAATGGAATTTGCATACAACCGACATTGTCGGTTCTTCGTGCTGATTCAATTGTTCACCTCATCTCTCGTCAGATTCTTATCGGAATTACAAATAGTACAGCATTTTTCCGCAATATCTGATTTACTGCAATGTAAAAAAAATATTCACATATTTAAATGTATTATGCTGAAGTTGTGTGGATTAGAACCAAAAATAATAGTGCGCTTTATTTTTGTCAGTAGTGATTACAGTAGTGAGATAAAGCTGCAAACTGTGACGTTATAGATGAACCATCTGTAATTGATTTGGAATCACAGAGAAATATAAATTAGCGAATAACGGGTGACGAACAAGTTAACAGTTGTATAATAAGCAAAGTTTAGAACAATTTTATAAAAAAAATAACGTTATTATTCTTGAAGAAACTATTTTATTCGCCATACCAATAGAAATAAAAACATGCATTATAAATGTATGTAGCATTTTGCAGCGTTATTTTTATTCTTTGTGTAAAACTATTTCAAAAAAGATTAAACAGTGCAGAACATTTCTTTTATTCGCTAATAGACATACTAACATAATTATTATTATTAATTAAACTGCGTCTGCACATCGCGCAAGTTTCGTGCGCGCAATTATCATGGTCCAATTTCAGACCAGTACAATGGAGCAATTAACCGATGTAAGTGTCAAAATGATTTATGATACCCAACTACATGAAACGTCAACAACGAGAATAAATAAGAAAAGAAGAAACATGAAATTTTTCTTGGCAATCAAAATTTTTCAATGGCCATTCAGCTCGACTGCTTTACGGACCTTACGGTAAATCGTATATAATAGATATCGATATCATTGGTGGTTAATGTCGCTGCGATTATCAAAGGTATCTGTCGTACATACACGCGCGCATAAAAGCCATGATTTCTAAAGTACTACTCTCTCGACTCTCGACTCGCGTAAGTACTCGCGCATCGGTTCAAGGAGAATCTCGAAGGATAGTAAAAGTATGCAGCTGGTGCGCTTTAGCGACCCAAACTCACATAAAACGCCACGTTCCTCCAATATTCGGATCTTTTAATTCACACGTAACATCTACAAACTTTTCATCGATCTCCTTCTTTGTTCGCATAAACATCATTTTGGCGTATTAAACGCCAAATAACTTTAAACATTTTACTCTTTACTTTGACTAAACATGTTAATAAATATAAATGTATGAGTAAAAACAAATTACAAAGACGTCCGGTCTTTTTTACAAGTCTTATACTCCGGTGCACTATAATACTATAGTCCTTATTGATGTCCCTGATAATGATTGTTTTTGAATGGTCTATTTGATGCATGCGTTCCGCATCACATAAGTTTACCGCGACAACCAAAATTAGATACCCCGGCGGCGATGCAAATTATCTAAGGTTTCACTTTAAATTTGTACAGTGTGAATTGTTACGTTAGCCACACCTATACCTTTCACCTGACACGTTAGCTTGCGCGTGAACATGCTTGCTCGATACACCCTGATATTTACTCGATTGCGCTCGGAAATCCGCGAACTGTAAAGCGATGAGATATTATGAAACATATTTTGCTGCATCATGAAAATACGTATCCAAGAAGTTAAGCAAATTGAAAGAAGCAAATCGGAGTAACTTTTTTCGTAAAATATATAGACATCTACGTACTGTCAATTCTTCAAATCCTACCTAGTCGCATTCGCAAATATTAACCCTCAATGTTGCTTAAATCTCATTTTTAGACCTTTGAGTTTTAGTCATATTTTCTTCAAGAAACTTTAAAGAACAACGTACCAAATATCGTTTTCGTACCAATAAATTATTGATTTTTTAATACGTAACTTTGGAAATAAATTCAATATTTATTATCACCACGAACGATAAAAGATTTGCGTCCGGAATTCTCGCGTGTGCTCGTGCATTTAACCCAAACGCCTGACCTCATCCACACATCGCTCATCCGTGACACGCTCGCCTACGAACGTAAATGTTATTGCCAAAGCAATAAATATGGTAATGTGTCTAACGTGGGCGTGCGTACGTACATATGCACGGAATAAAACAGACGTGTCCGAGCGTTGAGATCGCCTAGAAGACTATTGGTTCGCGCATATACGTATATACATATATTGTAAATCGGCCTGTATTTCAGGGAGGAGAAAAAAGGACCGAGAACGAGGACGAGCGAGAAAAGTTGGCGTGACTCGAGCGGAAGACACGACATCGGGACATCAGCGGAAAACGGCCGGGGCCGGGGCCATGTTTCTCCCGTAATAGCCACGTTCCACGGTTCCCTACCTCATCGTGATCGTGAGCATGTTGAACCGTGTCTCCGTGTATGTCACTGATATCCAGCTCGAAGCGTATCGTTTTGTTACCGTATAATAGTCTCCTTGGAGAATTCGCAAGCATCGTCTTCGGGATCGATAAACTCGCGGAATTTTTCCAGAAGATCGGAATATATATTTCCATTGAATAGAAAATCGGCCTCGCTACTTTTACAAATATCGTTTTATACGTTGTACCTATATACTTTGTTTACTGGCTTTATTAAGCGTTACAGGTTATACGGCAAATGCGTCGAACGACTAACGTGTAACGAATAATTTAATTAAATATCATAATCTTCATAG